AGCTATGCTAGATGTTTCCGAAACACAGAAGCACGCACTTATGGCCTGTGGCATGTCACGTAATTTTCATAGTATTTAGAAGCCGAAAGATAGAGGAGGTTAAGAAACTCAAGATACCGAGAAGACCGAAGGCCTATGTCAAGGGTACAGAGAAAACAAAGCGAAAAAATCATTCCGAGGAGTTACTATAACACAGTTAGGGTTACACTTGAAAAAAACAACAAATAAAACTAAGGAATTAGCGAATTCGGTGACTCACTTCTGTTATCCTACCAACAACAGTATCCCCAACATTGCCCGCATATCGTGCGTTCGGCGGTTCAACGTACATAAGTTTGTTGACAGATTTCAAATTGCCAGCCAGAGATGCGTACATGGGCAAGGATGAAGAGGATTCAACAATAGGTTTGGCAGCCATGTCCTGCGGCAAAAGAGATTCGGTACGCTGCGCCGAAGGGTCAGCGGAGTCAGGGCGGTAAGTCCCGTGACCGGTAATTAAATTTGATCCCGACATGAATATGACTTCTCCCGGGACAACAATATCGCGAAATAAGTCCTTTCTTTCCGAAGAAAAATCCGCAGCCCCGGCCAAGGGGTCATTGAGGATAGCAGCAGTGATTGTAATAGGCATTATTTGGCTTCTCAGCAATTAAAAATAGTTCCTAAAAGATAGCATAAATCTAAATATGCGGTTCTTTACTGCACATAAAGACCTCTTCAAACTAATGGATTTGGAGGTCTGGATCTCCGCGTCGAAGGCCTGGGGCTAACTATTTACACTATATACGGTCAGCACCTAGACTCAAGCCCCTTCCAAAGCAGCCGTAAAAACCAATATTCAGAGGTCGCCAAATAGACTAAAATAAACCGAAAGAATTTAAATCAGTTACACGGCATCGAGAATGGGTACTGTCCAAAAATATCAGTGTCGGGAGAAGGCTAGGCTTCAAGAAAATGAAAAAAAGCACCTATAACCCACTTCCGTCAATGCAGGTCTTTAGTCGCTTTTCCTACATTTCCGTTGGTCCACGTATGTGATTACTGTCATATATACACGAGTTAAGACCGTCAAATCCTGTTGTTAAACGTCTCTTCCTCCACTCCGTTGGTACGCTTACCAATACATATTCGTACTACTGCATGTGAATTACTCCCACATGCCATATACCTTAAACTTTCACGCAACAAATTCAACAGTATGGCGCTGTTTGGTTGAAAAAAGGTATTCAGCCTTTCCGTTGGATCTGTTCTCCCGCAGCGTACCAAATTTACACAAGCAGAGAAGACAGATATGTTTTATTTTACATGGTACATAATAAAGTCTGAAAGTCTTATGTTGCGAAGCGCCGTGAGATTACTTTTGAATATCTGAAGGATTCGTAAAGCCAAATATTTTTCGTTCAGCTGACCATAAATCATCCTTTGGATGAGTATGCCTTCTTTAATTATCTTCTTAAACAAAATTCACCCTTATAGCAACTCCACATAGGGCTGACAGCGGATAGCTTTAGCAAAGCCAGACCAGGTTGCCATTTGGTTGCTATAGAAGCAAACACAAAAAGTCACGATACGGCGCTAGACAGTGGCGACCATAAACAGATCTGTTCTAAATGAGTAGGCATTAATGGCTTCAACGTCGTGTTTCCCTTTAAAACGTCTTCTAATTAACCCCCCCAGTCTACAATTTGCCTGGCAGGATCATCATTATTTAGCCATTGTAAACTAAGATGGGCGTATACTTTCCCATTAGGTGCCCTTCACATTTTCTACTTATGCGTGATGAGGGCTTTAATGCTCCTTCACGTTTCAAGCCGCCGGTCTAAGGTTACC